TCTCCTGCCTCTGCCTCCCAAGTAGCTGGGACCGCAGGCACCCGCCACAACGCCTGGCTATTTTTTTTGGTTGCAGCTGTCATTGTTGTTTGGTGGGCCCGGGCTAGATACGAACCTGCCACCTTAGGTGTATGTGGCTGGCACCGTAGCCACTTGAGCCACAGGTGCCGAGCCAATATGGGATATATTTTATGCAGGTCCAGTATACCCTATCTTTTATTACTTTGAGGGTAAAATGAGAGCCTCTCTTGGAAAAGTAGGTGGCTGGACGAGTCAATTCCTATGCATTTCTAGACCCCTATTTCTAACCCCCAAATACAGAATGCTAAAGATATCAACCTGTAGGCCGAAGATAGTATCATATGGCCCAATGATAGACAATACTATAGGACTCTGGCCCCACTTTTCCCATTATGTTCCAGAAATCCTCATTTGGACAAATGAATCCAATGTAAAGGGCTATAACTTCTTGGCTATTTTTTAGTGGGTCATCAATCTGCAAGGCACCTTCAAGTGTTATCAGATAAACGAGTCAATGGCAATTCCAAGTGATAACAAAGAAGTAAAAGAAAAACTGGCATCAACTCCAAAGAAAGGGTGTGTAACAAAGCAAAAAGCCCTCTGAGGATGATGGGCAACATGGAGGTCTAAGTTGTCTTTAGTTGCATAACTTTATTTACTGGAAGACCTGCCAATGAGGAGGGTTGTAAAACCTCTACCTGACTAATATAGTAAGGTGGGCCACTCAGATATTTCCTCAAATCTCTTTCCACTCATCAACTCTGTTCAAATATTTCAAATAATCCTTCACTGTTTAGAACCTGAACTTTCACATTCATTGATCTTGCATTCAAAGTCCTCTATATCTTAGATTTCACCAATCTCTGTTACAGAGTATTATTTGTTACAACAGAAGGGCCATGTGTTCCAAAAAAACCCCCTATTCTCAGAACATCATCCTATATGCCACAAACATATACAATTTCATTTGCCAATTAAAAAAACAAAAGCATCTTCTCTATACATTCCCACCTCTATATGCAACCCCCTCCCCTTTTTTTTTTCTGAGACAGCACCTCAAGCTGTCCCCCTGGGTAGAGTGCTGTGGCATTACACCTCACAGCAACCTCCAACTCCTGGGCTCAAGTGAGTCTCCTGCCTCTGCCTCCCAAGTAGCTGGGACCACAGGCGCCTGCCACAACGCCCGGCTATTTTTTGGTTGCAGCCATCATTGTTGTTTGGCAGGTCCGGGCTGGATTCGAACCCACCACCTTAGGTGTACGTGGCTGGCACCTTAGCTGGTTGAGCTATAGGCGCCGAGCTGCAAACCCCTTTCAATACTTAAACATTACTGAGCAGGACAGCGCCTGTGGCTAAAAGGAGTAGGGCTCCGGCCCCATATATTAGAAGTGGCGGGTTCAAATCCAGCCCCATCCAAGAACTGCAGGAAAAAAAAATTACTGAGCATTTAAAGAGCTTTTTGTTTCTGTTGGTTATATCCATTGTTATCTATCATATTAGAAATAAAGACAAGAGACTTTAAAAGTATTTTAAAATTTTAAATAAGTCCATTATATATTAATATAAGTAATGGTTTTATGAAAAATTACCTATATTTTTGAAAACAATAAATTTAGTTAGAAGAGTGACTACCTCTTTAATGTCTGCCTTTTGTATTGCAGTATGTTGTTCTAGTTGAAATATATGAAGAAAAATCTGGCTTCACACAGTTGGAAAAGAGAGAAACATTTTAGTTTCCTCCAATAACTATGGACAGTCTTTGACAGTACACCAAAGTGTGATAAATGGTAGATTCTTAATCAAAGGTTAACTGCAATGTTGACTCTGGAAACTTACAAATGAACTTCTCATACTTTGTTACATTAAAATACATTACATAATCAAATTATCTTATCCATCATTTTATAACATTAAACAGTCATTTGTAATATTGGCTTACTAAGTTATGGAATACTTTCAAGTGTCAGTACATTTCATTATTCAAGGTCTGTTCCCCTTCATCACATCTGTTAATATCACCACTGATCTCATCAGAACCCCTTTAACAACTGAGCAGCTCTCAAGCTTATAGTAAAGGATACAACTTTTTCAAAATTTTAAGTTTTGGAGGAAAGCTTACATTTTACCAATGGAAACAAATACTATCAGTTTTTTCCCTTGATGTGACAGACCTACTTCATTTTCAAGAAAATGCTTGAAAATGATATTGATATATCCTAGTTTGTCCATCATTTGTTCTTACAAGAAAAAATGATAGTCCATGAAAAAAGACTAGTTCAACTTGCAACTCAATCACACAAGTACTTTTCTTTGAGACTATTTTGGCATGCAGCATAAACGCTGTATGAATACTTTCCACTTTGCCACGTAGAATATGAAAAAGATTGTGGTGGGAAATTTACAAAATTGATACTTTTTACTGTTTCACCAAGGACATTTTAAAACAAAGTTTTTTTTGTTTTCCTATGAGTTTGTGACAGTGAAGTTTACAATGACTGCCAGCAGCACAATTTGGTGCTACTGTCTTGATTATGATAAAGTACAGGCAATTTTACCTACCATTGCTCTTTTACTGATTGCTAAAGCCAATAAAGTGGAAACAACAAGTAACCTCTTGGTATTATTATGAAAATAGTTTGACCTTGTAGCCTCCCCCTGGAAAAAGGGAGAGCTGTCAGTGATTTGTGGAACAAGAAAAACCCATGCTGTAGATCACTGCCTCTGCCTACGGGATCCTACACTCAACTCTGCATTATGGGTTCATCAAAGTTTAAGATGTAGGGGAAGTACCGCATTTCCCCCAAAGTAAGACACTGTCTTATATTTATTTTTTCTCAAGAAGATACACTAGGGGCTCGGTGCCTGTGGCTCAAGGGGCTAAGGCACCAGCCACATACTCCTAAGGTGGCGGGTTCGAATCCAGCCCAGGCCCACCAAACAACAATGACAGCTGCAACCAAAAAATAGCCGGGCGTTGTGGCAGGTGCCTGTGGTCCCAGCTACTTGGGAGGCTGAGACAGGAGATTCGCTTGAGCCAAGAAGTTGGAGGTTGCTGTGAGCTGTGATGCCATAGCACTCTACCCAGGGGGATAGCTTGAGGCTCTGTCTCAAAAAAAAAAAAAAAAAAAAAAAGAAGAAGAAGACACACTAGGGCTTATTTTCAGGGGATGTCTTATTTTTATTAAGTATAATACAACAATTTACATTTATTCAAATACAGTTAAGTCATATTCTTCTAGAACCTGACAGGGGGAGCAGACCTTGTTGGTGGGGCTGGAGCTAGTGATGTGTGAATTCCTTTTCCTTAGCCATTTGCATGTGTGCAATAAGATGCCTGCCACCATGGTTACCACCCACACAAGTGCGAGCAGCTTGGAGAAAGGAGCTTTGGCAGATAAAAGGTATTCCAGTCTTCTTATTGCTCCATGCCCACCTGAAATGCATGGCCACGCACATCACTAGGTCTTATTATCGGGGTAGGGCTTATATTTAACAAATGCATAGAAATCCTGCTAGGGCTTATTTTTTGGGTAGGTCTTATTATCGGGGAAATATGGTAGTACCTACCTCCAAAAGCAGTTCTTAATGAACCTGCTCTTCACTAATCTCTCTCCTTCTAGCATTTACCCGTATTTTATTTTTTGACCTGGATTTTTTTTTTTTTGTAGAGACAGAGTCTCACTTTGTTGCCCTCAGTAGAGTGCGGTGGCGTCACACAGCTCATAGCAACCTCCAACTCCTGGACTTAGGCGATTCTCTTGCCTTAGCCTTCTGAGTAGTTGGGACTACAGGCACCTGCCATAGCGCCTAGCTATTTTTTTTGTTGCAGTTTGGCCAGAGCTGGGCTTGAACCTGCCACCCTGGGTATATGGGGCCTTCGCCCTACCCACTTAGCCACAGGCGCCACCCTCGACCTGTACTTTTAAAGGTTCATTGAGGGCAGGGGCCTTATTTTACATTTTCAAATAAACTTAGTAATCTGGGCATAACAAGTATATATAAAAATCTGTTACAATGACAACAACAGTGTGATTTACAGGAATAGATAAAAGCAGCCCTGCAAGTCAGATAACCCGTGTTCAGATTCTCACACTGCCCCTTACTAGCTGTATGATCTTGACTAGTTAGCCTTAATTTCTTTTTCTGTAAAAGTAGAATAATAATTATATCTATTTCACAGGGTGGTTGTGATAATTCAATGGAGTTACTAAAATACTGGAGTTTATAGAAAATTCTTCAAACAATATCTGGTATAGAATAAACACTAAAATATATTGTTATTAAGTGGCCCCTGTATATGTACATTTTTGAAAACTTAAGGACTGATACTTTGATGTAAAAAAAGATAGCTTTAAATTAGGTTATGAAGAGTATGTAAGGGAAAATAATTTTTTTTTAATTTTCCTAATTATCCAGTTAGGAAAACTTCCCATTTATTACATAAAAGACTCGATTAACATGCTATATTGCCTAAGTAAATAATTCCAGTTATGTCAAACTAAGAAAAAGAAAGTAAGTATTTTTTTTTTACATTATATGGAGGAATACTGGAGAAATGAATTCTGTTATTTCAACTGCCATGTTAACTCAGTATTTTTAATAGCATATTTTTACACCTTTAGAACTCTAAGCTTTCTTCCTCCCATTAAAAACACTGGGAGAAGATTTTCGAAGATTATGTCTCCGACAAAGGTTTAATAACCAGAATCTGTAGAGAACTTAAACGTATTAGCAAGAAGAAAACAAGTGATCCCATCTCAGGGTGGGCAAGGGATTTGAAGAGAAATTTCTCTAAAGAAGATTGGCACACGGTGTACAGATATATGAAAAATGCTCATCATCCTTAATCAACAGAGAAATGCAAATCAAAACTACTCTGAGATATCATCTAACTCCAGTGAGATTAGCCCATATCACAAAATCCCAAAACCAGAGATGCTGGCGTGG